TTTGTTTTAGTTTCTTTCTATCTATTGCCATTTCAATAAAAAAAGTCAAAATACCGAGCCTATCCTAAAAAAACTCTTGCTTTTATTATTATAGCAAATTTTGTGAAAGCTTCCAAACATCACCAGAGCAACAGTTCTTGAAAAGAAAAAAACAGCCACTTCAAATAGTGACTAGAATATGTGAAAAAATTTTCAGCTCGATCCCTCTTACCATGTCAGAGAAACGGGGCCGAAACAGTACTTTTTCTGTTAAAAATTTGATTTTGAGGGAAACGCAAAATAATATACGGCTTTAGCTATTTTCGTTATGTAAATTGGACTTCTTCTCGAATTTTTCAACCTTTAAAAACAATTGTTGAGTCACAAAATATACTCAGTAGAATAGATACTACTTGAGACTATAAAGTGGCCAGAAAAAACCAAAAACGAAAAAGCAAAAATTTCGAGGAAGAAAAGGAGATATCATTAATGTTAGTTTTATCACACATAATAAAGCATTTTCACCACATTACGAACAAATACGGGTCTCTATTCTTCAATTCACTTAGGTAGTTTCCACCTTCAGCTTCAATTAAATTGTTATTGAGGCTGAGTTTGGTGAGTGTCTATGACAAATAAGAATGATTAAGATGAAATAGTTGAAGTTATTTCTTTCACCATGTTCTGTCTTTTAATGCATCACTCAAATATTATGTCCCTTGATCTCTAATTTGATTATGAAACAAACTTAGCATAGCAAGTGTCTATGTCAAATATGAAATGATCAGTAATAGATAGAAAAAGATATATTTTTCTCACCTTATTTTGTCGTAATGCATTACAAAGGCATTGTGCGCCTGAAGCTTGAATCTTATTATATTCGAGATTGAGTGAAGTGAGTTTCTATATTAAATAAGGAATACCGAGACTAGGCAAATGTCTTTCGCAATGCATCAAATCAATAGTATAACTTTTCAACCTCTATCTCTAGTTAATATTTTGACTTTTCATGTCTATTTAGAATATCTGATCGGAAAATATGTTGTTAATATCAAGGAATGAAAGGATATCTATTAATTTCGTATTAAAAAATGTTGAAATAGTACTAACGCGAGTTACGTACTTCTTAACATGTCTCCAAACTATAGTGACAGAGTTGGGGAAGAATATGCTTCAACTTCATCAATTTCCGTTTCGACTTTTTCTTTTTACGACAATAATACCATTAGAATGTGGTAGTTTATGAACTAGTTTGTTCCCTACGTACTCTACGCTGTGTAAATTGCACTCGGTGAATGCTCGATGAAGAAGTCTCGAAAAACGAATTGTGAATTCTTTGCTAATTGTATCGAGATTCTTATTCAAATTTATTGAATCGTAATATATCGCATCGAGACAGTCTCATGATCTAATCGATAATGTATGCCTCCTATAAGTTCTAGCATTGTTAAAGCAAGTGTGATGCATCTCTATGAATACAGGAAAAATTCAGCTGAGATTTGACATTAGTCTATGAAGAAATGAAAGTATTGATGCACAGCTGTAAAGATACATATCTCAAGGTCTCATTCAAATTACTGTGCCTTTGTATGAAAAAGAAATTCATACTATGTAAATATGCATCTCGTATCAGGATGGCGTGTGACTTATACGATTAACTATTTTATTGGCATCTTACACTCGTAGAAGGGTAATGTTGGTCAAAATCATGAGAGTAAAAGATACAAACTGAATACTGAGAAGCAAATTGTCTCGAGTAAATAAACAGTTATAATAGAGACTTAAATAATTGAAACACAGCTATGCCGTAAAAGCAGAACACTTTCATCTATTAAAGTCACCTGCAACATTAGTCCATAAATGCAGGAACTATGTACAAGTTACGAAGAATATGGATGGAACTCATAAATCGTTTAAATAAGACAAGAGAGATGCCTTGCTGGTGTAAAATTCTCTAAGCCTGATTTGATAGCAAATCAGCATCGTCCTCCTTCCTTCCTTATAGACTTAGATAGAGATCTAGAAAGAATTTTGAGCACTTTTCTTCGCATCATGCTATAGGTAGTAGTGAAAAATGCGGAGATTCCTACTCATATTAGTAAATCATTGGGCTTACTTCATTTGCTGCTATGGTTGATATTAGATGTACGATCTGAAACTTTGTATAAATAGCATTGGAATTATTTCTGTTAGTTACAGGCTAAGACTGATACTCACGTAGACCAAGAGCTCTTTCCAAACATTAACGTTATTATCATTAAGAAAATGACATATGTGAATCACGAATTTTGCTGCTTGGACCAGGTTTTCTAATTCGTTCTATATCTCCAAGTGAGAAATTTTGACAGTTTCAAAACGGATTATAACTTTAGGGTCCAATGTTACGACTACTCTAAATGCGAATGGAACCTAGAAGTAGATATCGTTTTTTGAGCAGTGCATCAAATAATTCATTTTTTAGTCACTATCACAACTCAATGCTAGAGATTTGGCAAGGTTAATATTACCGTAGATACAGAAAAGCTGAAACCGATTACAAATATACAAAAATAAAAGTTCATTTTTTCTCAATTAACGAACAAAGTAGTTAATTATACAGTGGATGTCAATTGATTTTTCCCCCCTTTCCTTTTCTTCATTAAAACTATTAGAATGTGTTTGTTTTTTACCAATCGGTATACAGCGAGAAAGTTCATACATCACTGCATCGCATGGTATGTTAATCATACCATAATAACTATAGCTCAGAGAAGAACAAATATATCAGAAAAAAGATCGTGCAGCTTTTTATTATATGGTAACCTACAAGTTACTATATCGAGAAGAAAAATGAGTATTTTCACCATATTACGACCCAGAAGAACTGATATTTTTACCACTGATAATGAAGCGCTCATAGTTTATATTGATAGGAAAAACTTTGACTTCAATAATAAATTTTAATCTTGCACAAGTTCTGAAAAAACCGCTATACCATCTTGATCAAAACAAGCGGCAAACCTCCTTTTTTTTTTTTATGAATCTTTCAAACTATTCTTGTTTGATCTTATATTGATACCACGGATGCATATTTTGTTATTCAGTCTACCCTGGAAGTTTTAGTTATGAACAACCCAAATTTGTTGAGAAAATCGCAAAGATGTCCTGTGTAACTTTTAGGTTAACCTGTAGTAGAAAAATATATCATTTTTTTCTTATATACTTTTTCTTCTCTGATCTCTAGTTATTATTTATGATTAACATATTATCCAAGGCAGTGCTGTCTAGATTTGCTCGCTGTATACCAATTATCAAAAACCAAACACATTGTAATAGTTTTAATGAAGAAAAACAAAGAAGGAAAATAAATTGGCGCGCACTGTATATGGGTCAGTCTCAACTTACGCAATGCAAAATAATAAAATTTTGCCCTATTTTACAACAGAGAAAATAAAAACTATATCATTTACCGTATTCTCGAGTTCGGGGTTTCGGTACTGCGATGGTGACACTTTCATAGTTGCTGGTTGTGATGTTGATAGCGTTTCTAAAGGTTTTGGTTGTACAGAATCAATGACAGGTTTAATCGCTAAACTGCTTGAGAGAAATGTTTCTGATGTTCGACTTGTTTCTGGAGATTTTGTTTTTGTTTTTTGAAACAACCGACTCTATATATGAAGCAATAGTTACGATGAATTCTTAACGAAAGTTGTCGATGTCTTATATTCACTCATCACAATTGTTACATTCAGCTATCTGGCTCAGAATAATCAACTTTGAAATGAAAAATGTTCTGAGCAGAGACGCGTAAATTGTTTTCATTCATCAATTTTATAAACAGATCGAAGCGATGCTTTCATGTAGATAGTAAAAATTTTTGAATCTATCCTTTTCATCAAAGCAACAAAAGTTACTGTAAATATTTTTTGATCGTAAAAATGTTTATTTATCATGCAAGAATTAATTTCATTCCATCATCATAAGTAATGTATAGGATGACATAAAGTTTTCTGTGTAACATCGACTAAAGTCTAATGATAACTAAGTGCTCTGTATAGCAATAATTGTTGATATAGATCGAAAAATATTTTTCGAGATATTTTTATAGTCAACACAACAGATATAAATGCCTCCACTTTATATATGATGAACTCGATTTAATCTTTATTCTTGTCGTTTGTCAGTTTTTGTAAACAACTTTCAGCAAGTTCTATCTGTGTTTATGTTCAAACTGATGTTTACTTATCCATGTAGCTATACATTTATGAATCATTTTTCTTTTGTTTTATTCTATTTGAATCATTTTTCAATATTAAATATTGCGTTGTTTGAAAAAAGGAATAATTACGTCCTATTTGCGTATCAATAGGAAAAATAACTATGGAAGATGTTAACGTTCAAAAATTTTTCGTTTTATTCTGTAAGTTTTCTATACTATAGTTAAATTCATCTAAGAGTTATTTCTCATTTTTCTATGATATACGTAATGAATGCCAAATTTTGTAATAATAAAAAGCTATCTACTCAAATAGAACAGAAAAAAAACAAGAAAAGTTTAAAATAGATGAAAAATCTTCATATAAATAACATATTTGCTAGATATTAAAAAACGATATAATTTTAGTTTTACATACCAACTCGATTAAAAACATCTATAACATTATTCAGTCGTAATTCGAATAGAACGAGATTCACTGAAGTCACAAGAACTATTTAACTATGATCTATCAATCTCCTACTACTTTGATGTAGTTTATTCGACCTTACTAGAAGTGGTTGAATTATTCGAAGAAGAAATCAATGGTACTGGTTGCAAAAGTGGAAATGGTGAAGGTTGCTCTCTTTGAGATTGATTAATTGTAAATTACTTTGATCAAGATAATCTCGCAGCAAGTAAAAGTACTTCATCTTCTGATAAAAAATACGAATATCTCTGCCTGATACACATTGAATTGTAAACATAGTTCGAGTGCCTGTTTTATCCAAAAAATTGTTCACATTGTAAGATATTCAAGACGGTAGTACACGATTGAAAATCTTCATCATATTATTGTCTCTCCCATTTTGATACCTCTCTGTACAGCATCACGAATCAATGGAAGACGAAGAAGTCCGCTGAGAAAAAGTCTCAAATAAAGAAACCATGGTTTAAGTTTTTGTCGATCGGCTGAACGTAATATATCATTTAGAACGAAGTAAAGACATTCGTCAAGTGGTTCCCATCCCATTGTATAGAGCATAATTGAGGCTGACTCATCTTGAGACAATCCATCAGCTGGTTTCTTACGTTTTTGTTTGGCAATATAAGCGTGACTCTGTATAGTGGGTAATAGATCAACGAATTTTTCAACAACTTCTTCAAGTGAAACTAAAGGCATTTTCTCATATCCACAAATAGGTGCGAGAAAATCTAGTGATTATTTAGCAATATCTGTAATGCCTAGATAACGCTGTATAATAGCTTCTTCTTCTTTTTTTCCTTTTGCGACCGTGTTGAATAAATAGAGATCGTCGTCTTTTATTGAATGATAAAATGCTGAAAACAAAAATAAAGATTTAAATTTGGAAAAACTTTCATCTGTCATATAACGTAATGTAAAATGTTATGAAGTTCGTGAGGGAGCTCTCCCAATCGCTTTTGAGTCGAAACTTTGCATTTCGCGTAAATCCTAATGAATATTGAATACCACGGTTCACTCAGCAACATTATGAAAATTTATTTCGAATTTCGACTTGAAACTTTGCTTCGAGAAAGTCTTAACGAGAATAGTTTTTTGTGATACTTTCATACCTCTCAGTTGTTTCTATTCTGTGATACAGTTATGGTACAAGCGTGTTTCTGTGCAAATTTTTAAGTCGAAATTCGAAAATCAATATTTCTGAGAAGACCACTATATTAATTTAATAGATATCGAAAAATGCAAATATCTGTGTCAGGCAAAATTAAACAAAGCTATTAAAAGACTTGAAATTTTAAAAAAAAGTTAAAAAGCATAAAAATAAATAGCTGATCCTATAAATTTAAATTAAGTTATATTCAACTTTAATTGAAATTTAACTAAGTTTAGGAAGATGTAGAGTCTGCCACTGTATTCTATTAAAATTTAATTGATTTTAGGAATTTTTAGAATTCGTCAGTATAGTCTGTTGAAATCTGATTAAGTTTTGAAAGGCGAGAAATTCGAAAGATTAGACAATATATATTATTTGAATAGAAGTCAGTTATAGTCTTTCAATGAAGTTATTGATATTTTTTCACTCTTTTAATAATTTATTGTCGTAGAATTTTTTATATCAACTATTTGTTTTGATTTTGATCTTTAGTAACAAGATGTTTATTCACAGAAAACTCGATAAATAGATTTATGTGGACATTGTCTTTCTTACGATTCAATATAAAATGCTATCAACAAAAACTGTGATAAATATTAATCTCTCGGAAAGTCATTTATATATGACTACTGTAAGAATAGCGGATAGCATACAATGAATCACATAGATGATTCAATAATTAATCAATAGTATGCCTGAAATATGTTGCTATGGATTGATAGAGTTCTCTTCTTGATAAATAGCACAATATGTACATCTACACTTTGATCATTCAATCAAAAAACAGCTATTCTAGTTACGCTGGCAAAAAAAACACCTGCCCGACCAAAAAAAGGAGGAGGATTAGGGTTATATTTATTTCAATCCTTTTTCACATCTATGTTCATATACTTCAAGGGTATGGTTCTGTTTATTCTATATGTTTAGAATTTTAATGTAAAAGATACATGTTTAAATGTTCAAAAATGAACTTGCTGGCAATATTGATAATATTGGTTTTTGTAATATTTTCTTTTTCGACACGAAAGACAAAGTATTATAAAGATTTTTAAAGGATATCGATTATACTTCTTATAATTCATCGATAAACTGTCTAGGCATTTATCGCATCATGCAGCAGTCGTTTGGGCGGAAAAAAAAGAAAATTTGTCGATGAATAACTTTTCAATCTCTTATGATACTGAACAAAAAAAAGTGTAGCTATTTAATGAAATATTCAGCAACTCCTTTATTCTAACTGATATATTTCAAGCAAGGGCTAAAAAAAAGAAAATTCGTCAACTAATAACCATTTAATTTCTAACGACACTAAAGAAATAAGCGTAGGTTTTTTAATAAATACTCAGGTACTGATTCATTCTAATTGTTTTATTTCGAGCAAGGATCATTTCAAGCATTGAATACGTCTTTTACTTATTGATAATAAGTTATCCAATTGATTAAGATATGTATGAAAATGCTTAAATAGGTACGATGATATTTATATAGCGTTAGACTTTCAATTGCTAATTACAAAAAGAAGTCCAATACGAAATTTTGTTATAAGTGAATTAGGTATTTAAATCATATAATAGCTGTATGCATTTTTTTCTAAATATCTCTTTTAAACAGCTATGATAATGTTTAAATCGCGATAAATTTTCAATAACTAGTTACATGAAGTACTGATATAAGCGAAAAGTTTTTACAGAACAATCAGCTACTTAATCATTAAGTAGCTGTATATTATTTGAAAAAGTATTTCTTTCGAGAAGCTATGGTTTCAACATGAGTACGTTTCTAACCATCTTTCATCGCTTTATATACTAATATCGGTTAATCAATTTTTGCATCACATAGTAAAATATTCAAGTCAATATTTTGTACGACAAAAGAAATGTAACACCAAGATATAAAACGTTAATCGAAATCTGTTGAACATTTATTTGTAAGGCGACGAAGAATAATCTTTTCATTCATGGGTCGTATGGGTACTATCTTTTCTCTAAATCTACTATTTAAAGATTTAAGATGTTTACTTGCTTGTTCATAAAATTGTTCTCGAGATTCAACTTCTGATGTTGAATGAGAAGTCATCACTGTACTTATGATATGATTACATACATGAAAATGAATGTTCTGCTTTTTTATTTACAGTTTATGTAAACGAATAATTATTTCTTTTTCTATTGATAGTCAGATCAACAAACAATAAAAAAATCTCACTGTTTCGCGCCTACTAAAACTAATTTTGCCTGGGACATATCTTTGTTGCAATACGCTACGGATGTGCAAACTCTTTTCAGGGTTCTCATAATTGATTAGAGTTTATATGATGCACATGATTCCGACTGAGAAGCGACTAATCTGTCGAAGACATTTCTTGCCACACGGAAACACTTCTGAGAACTGTTTTGCCTCTTTTTGTATTTCATTTCTGTCCTCAAATACGACACATGTGCATGAATTTATGCGTTCTTCATTGTAGTCATAGAAGCCCACCAATATAAGTCAATAACTATTGAAGAGAAAAATATTGTTTTTTTTCTGGCTAATATAAATATTCTTTGTTAAATAATTTCGGTAATAAGTAGTTTCATCAGGTGATTTATCTATAATAATTGATCGTGATTTATTGTTGATCACGCGGGAAGTTTTGATCTCAATAAACAAAAAAAAGTGACTTAGTAGTGTTTTTCAAATGCTAAGATAATCGAGCATGCGTTTTATCTGATTAATACAGATGCATATCAAGTAATTATCAAGAATGAGAAATCAATTTTCATAAATACAGTTCCATCAATCAAAATTATGAATCATAGACAAACCTTTTCTATGATAAGAACATTTTACAACAAAAAAATATAATTGAAAACTCAATAATCTTTTAGACATATTAATCCCATACATTAGATACATTTCTAATCATAATCGAGAAAAAAAAATCCTTGAAACAGATTTATCAATCTAACACAAGCATCAATATGATAATATATTGAAATGTGAAATAATTTTAGTTTTTATTTTTATTTCTATAGTATAACATGAAGAAAAACCAAAAAGTACAAATGTTGACTACTTTAATTTTAGAAGATGTCCTTATGTCTATCAATTAATCAACACATTTACATGATCCTGTTGGACATTTACAATTTTCACATTTACATCGTTCATTGACACATTTTTTTTCTGCAATAGAACAAAGGAAAAAGTTAAATGACGAATCAAGCAATAAAATCAAACTCACCAGAACGATTACATGGACAATTTGAATCGCATGGACAACTATTTGTTTTGGTGCAATCTTCTTTGCATGAACATTTTCCAACTAGACAAACCGAAAAAAAAAAAAAATTATATACGTACAATAAAGATATTATTTACTTTGACAAGAGCACGGCATTCTATTTAATACGAAAGATGTTGTGTTCTATCGATGAAGATAATATATATGAAATATTCTTCAATATATCGCTATATATATATGTGTTAAATTAAACAAAGACGTTCATTGATAGAACAAAGAAATATCGATTGATCATAAACAGAGAAAAACGGGGGTGTCTACAATTGGAATAGAAACAAAAAAAAACGGGGGTGCCATAGAAAAGAATGAATAAGTGATGTCATGAATGTCAATATTGACATGTATGATAAATAACATTTAACGGATGTGTCAGAATAAATGAGTCTCTCATTTTACAGACTAATTTTCATCTTAACTGATTCAGCTTTTAACTCTCTACGAAATCATAGATAAATATGTGCTCTAGATGTAAAAGCAAAGCATCTATTATACACATACTTCGAACGTATACTTTTAACAATTTTCTTGTTGTTAATGTATGCTTACATTGAGATATGTAAAAGTGAAACTAGCCATTTTTCAAGGCTTGAAAACATTTTCACAAAGTCTCTATCACACAAAATAATCTTTTTGCACCGTTGTGTTTTTGAAAAATTGCTGTAACTCATTCATAAATTCTTGTTTTGGAGTAAATTTTTTTTAATGCTGCTGAATCATCCTCTAGAAATCTAATTAACTACAAGTAAATGATTTTTTCCTCTCGATTCAGCTCAAGCAACAAAAATTCGATACGGCAGATTTGAACTTCGTATTCTAACACTAGCATTCAAACGATATCTCATTATAGTGGAAAGAGAAAGTGCATGTTCGTAATATGTGCTGCTTATAATAACTTTTTGTTGCTTTTTTTAGGAAAAAAATTACGCGCATTCTTAGAAAGTTTTGTCGATTGTAAATTCATGTTTTACTTAGAATATATTATAAATGATACATTCGATTGATGTTTCTAAATCAAATCATAGAAAAAAACATTCATATAAAACTACTCGAAAATCTCATTATCATCGATCGGGAAAAAAATTTAATGCAAAGAAATCAAAAAAGAAAACTCATCATCATAGAAATTCTATTGAAATAAATTTTAATCAATCATCAATTGATAAAAATACACTTGATGAAAAACAAAATAATAATGATATACTTTTTGATACACATAATATGGTACGAGATCATTTATATATTTCAATAATTGGTGTTCTATGTTTTTTTCCAACTGGTATTTTTGGTTTAATACGTTCTATGCAAGCTAATGAAATGAAACGATCATCATCTATTCTCTATTGGCCTAAATTAGCTGCTATTTATGGAAGATATGCACTTCGTTGGGCAATTCTTTCAATTCTTATTGGAACAATGTTTTGGACTATTTTTATTATTTATTATCTTTTACGAGAACAACATATTCTTTGGTAAGAGAATTCATTTTTCCATTATCATATTCAAATTAAGATTCAATATTTTTATTTGAGGGATGCTTATTATCAAGAATGTGGTGAACAATTTTTATGTTCTCCATAAGAAATTTATTCAATTAATATTTAAAAAAAACTACAATTTACGTGTTAAACAATAACAATCAATACATGAACATACGGCATCACAGTCAACATCTTCATAGATTTAATATTTTAATTAGACATACGAGAATATGATCCATCTTTACATGGGTGGATGTGAGTGTTCTTCTTCTTTTCACTCACACTATCACTATTGGAGTAGAAAAACAAAATGGACTCATTTAGAATTTTATTGCTTTACCTAAAAAATTGACTGTACATCGTATATGGTATCCTGCGAAAATCTTGTAAGCATAAGATATGATATTTAATTAGTTACTTGCTCAAAATTTTAGATATCTTGACGAGCCAAGCATACTTTTACGTTTGTCTTATCTTTTGTCTGTTAATATATTACACTTGAGACTATGACCTGATTTAGTTTCTTTCTAAGAGAAAATAACTAGGTCTCTTTAAAGCATTGTAAACAGAACTTTGCTTTTATGCAACTAGTACATATTAAGAGAACTGTAATCTTTTCAGATAGAATTATTTCACGATGAAAATAGATCTGATGCATTAGTGATTACTAAAAAAAAAATACACCATAGAATTCTATGTCGGCATCATGTTTTATTTTAGACATTTGTAAAAAAAAATAATAATAATGATGTTTTCAAAAAAATGTCTTTTAATGTTTAAGATTATTAATCAGTTGTAGATGTTGCTGGTGGACATTTACATCCCTCAGTTTTGCATTCTTCTTTTTCACAAGCCTTCTCTAGATGATATTAAATAATAATAATAATAATAATAAATAGATTTAGTAGAAGAACTTATTACTTTGATGGCATAGTTCACAGCTGGCGTCACATGAGCATTGGCCTGTTTTAAGACACTCTTCTTTACATGCACATTTTTCAGCTAGAGAAAAACATCATACATGAAGAAAATGGAGAACATCAAAATTAAATTGCTTACTTTCACAAGGGCACGGCATCGTATTTTGTGTAGTGAAGTTGTATTTGCTTGGAAGAAAAACTATATCTGATAGGTCTTCAGAAATGTTACGTTATATATAGAAGCCAGGAACATTGTTCATTGATAAAGAAAAAGGGGTGCCTGTTTTGCTCATGATAAACAGGGGGTGCATCTATGTTTTAGTAATCTTTACTATTGATATTATGTTATAGGAACTTTGCTTATCTTGTCTTACCTCGTAAAACAAACAGTTACTATGAAATATTTATTTATCTCGACCAAACTAGAATGATCTATTTATATTGATAAAGTAAAGAAAAAAAAAATTATGTTGTTCCAAGTACATTTTATCAAATAATTTATTTTTTTTTTCTTTAATAAAAAAAAAACAAAACAAGAATAGAATATAAATGTTTCCCATGATCGTCAACGTTAACTAAGATAACCAACTAATATAACAATTGAAGACAAAAAAAAAAGAAAAAGAAAGAATAAGTAACAGTTACAAAGTAAAACAACCCATGTTAAAAGTTATACAATCTTAATGTAATTTCATTCATTTGCATGTCGTTGATTACGTGGATTGCTTGCTTGAACATAATGATAAGCAACGACTAGTAAAAATACAATTACACCAAGAATATTAGCACAAATACCCAATACCTAGTATTTATATAAATATATATATATTTAAATTGAGTTATTCAATGAATTTTATCTTACTTGATCACTATCGCGAATCATTGTGTGAATATATTTGTTAGTTTTATTAAGTTATAGATCTGAAAAAAGTATAATTTATATTCAATGAATACAGATAAATATGACACTTTATCGACTAGAAATGTGTGCGAGCAACGAAAATCTCAGTCCAAGTCATCGGAATTAAAGACTAAAGTTAAATATTCTATGGTTTTTATAGGTCATCAGTGACCACTAGAAACAAAGTTATCAGAGTCACAACTAAACTAAATTTATTAGAGCGAAAACAAAAACTTTGAGAAAAGTGCAAATCTCAATAGTGCATCAATTGCATGAAAACCGATGCTTTCCATATCAAACATTCGTTGTATTATCAACCATCAACAAACTAATAAAAAAAACTAACGAATCATTGATGTGACACGCTGACGTTTGAATCAATTTTAAAATGAAATTTAAATCATTATTATTATACATAGAAAAAAATGTATAGAAAATTAAAACAATAATATTAAAATTTAAGAACCAAACAATATTGAAAATGAGGTCGCCACAATCGATTTTCATTACAGAAGAAAAAATAAACAAATATAAGACCCCCATCAATCATTTCATTGCATTACAGTGCATCGTTTGTTGTTGTTGTCTCATTAGTCAGTATTGGATCATGCCTGAACAAACTCAAATCCCCCGTGTTCTTTGGGCTCAACAACGTGAACATGTTTTATTAACAATTGCTGTGCCTGACATAGAAAAAGTTGATGTTAAATTTGAAGAAGAATCCGTGTCTTTTCAAGGTCATTCAACATCATCGAATGCTAAAGACAATAATACTTACGACGTTAAAATTAATTTGTACGGAAAAATTGATCCTGAAACAAGCAAATATGAAAATATTGGTCAAAAATTTTGGCGTTTATTATTAAAGAAAAAAGATTCTAAAGATGCTTTTTGGCCACGTTTAACAAAAGATAAAGCACGTTTACATTGGTTACAAACTGATTTTGATCATTGGAAAGATGAAGATGAAAGTGACGATGAAAAAGCTGGACCGGCTGGTAACTTTCAAGATATGTTTTCTGGAGGTAAAAAAAAAACTATATTTTATTATTCCATTATTAATTAATTATTGTTTAAGGTATGGGTGGAATGGGAGGAATGGGAGGAATGGGAATGGGTGGAATGGGAATGGGAGGTATGCCCGGTATGGATATGGGTGATGGTTCAGATGAAGAAGAAGAAAATGAAGATTTAGATGATGAAAAACCACCTTCAATGACAACTGAAAATGGTACAAGTAATGCAAACGAACAAGAATCAAAGACACCTAATGATGAATCTGTTTCAACAACAACAACAGGCGAACAAGAAACAACTACCAAAGAGAAATCGGCATAAACTGTCTTTTTCTTTTTTTTGTTCGTCTTTCTAATGTTGTCCGTCCATAGGCGTAATGATGAACGATTGGTTTTTCATGTTCTTTTGTTGTTCCAAAATTTTTTTGTCATTCCGAACGAAAAACTAACATAATCAAATAAGAACAGCAACAACAATTCTTTGTTTTTTTTTTATCAGTAAAAATCAAGTTTATCATTCTACTTTAATCACAGATTCTTTATAGTTAAAGTTCATCATAGAAAGAATTTACATTAAAAATTAGCTTCGAAAGAATTTCTATTTTTAAAAGACACTTCTAGAATAATTACTATTTTACTAGCAATTGATAATATCACATCACGTTGTAATGATGGGATTCTCCAAATGATTAATAACTTTTCAGTTGACATTATACGCATTATATAAAGCGTAATGAGATATGAGTACTTGGTAAATGGTTTGTGTTCTTAGGTTATTGCTGTCGAGATACTATATTTTGTACAGTTCGTTTTTAGTTAACGTTGTGTAAATCTATTTGAATATTTCTAGATAGATAATGGCACCGAAAAAAATTTTGATGCTTGTTGGTGATTTTGTCGAAGATTATGAAGTAATGGTACCTTATCAAGCTTTGCTTATGGTTGGTCATCAAGTTGATGTTGTATGTCCAGATAAAAAAGCTAACGAAACAGTTGCAACTGCTGTACATGATTTTGAACAAGAACAAACATATACAGAAAAACGTGGTCACAATTTTACATTGACGGCAACATTTTCATCAGTTAAAGCTAAAGATTACGATGCATTAGTAATACCTGGTGGACGTGCACCTGAATATATTCGATTAGATAAACGAGTTCGTGATATTGTACGTGAATTTGACAACAATAAAAAACCTATTGCAAGTATTTGTCATGGTCTTCAAGTGCTTGCTGCAGCTGGTGTTGTTACAGGTCGTAAAGTTACAGCATATAAGTCTCTTGGACCTGATCTTCAATTAGCTGGTGCAAATTATGTCGATGTTGAACCAACCGAAGCAGTCGTCGATGGAAATCTTGTTACATCACCAGCTTGGCCTGGTCATCCAAAATGGCTTGCAGAATTTTTGAAATTATTAGGCACAACAATTAATCCATAAATACTCTTACTGTTCTATCTTATTTTACGTACTTTTAGTCATCTTATGTTTTCTTATATATATTATCATCAATATACAACTTTTTTTTTAGTTTAATAGAAACGAGAAAGAAAAAATGATGAGTATGATTGTCTTTTAGAAAATGTCAAGTACGAATAATTCGAATAACATTCCATCAAACACAATAGCAACAACAACAACAACAACAGAAAACGGATTAGATGATCTTGTATCACAACTTCGACAAACAATTAATAAAAGTGATTGGCTAACACTTAATACTTCAGCTAAATGGGAACAAGAAAATCCTGAATTAGCTAAACAATGGCGTGAAGCTATGAAAATAAATCAAACTAATGATTCTACCGAACAATAAATTCGTATATAATTAATTTCGTCAGATTTTTTTTTTTTAAAATAAAAATAATCGAAGAATGACCTAAGGTGATACACTGAAGTATGATTCAATACAATTCTAACAATTTTTATTGAAGTATTATATATATATAGCTGTCGAAATTACATATTATTGAATCACTTTTCGCTTGATCGATTTTTATCAATCAAGATGAATACCAAAAAAGTCTCTTTTAGTTTGATTTTTTAATCTTTATTTGTTCAGTTATGCTGAGAATCTAGATATAGAAGAAGAATACTCCTGTCTTTGAGCAAATTCTTTCGCCCCAAGGCAAGAATAGCCGAAACCTTCTGAGAATCTTGTGTGTTTGTTTTTTCAGTTGACTACTTGTGAAGATATCCATCAAAAATACGATTCATAAGCATTTTGTCGTTGTTAGATAGATAAGTCGTATAATCATGAGCAACAATACAAAGTTTAAATGAGAATAACCATATCTATGTCAAAATATCAGTCGGTCACAGAAACGTCCTTCTTTCGAAACATCACTCAAAACAAATGCTTCGTTTAAATGTAAATATTTTAGCAAGAATACGCACGATCTAGTTCAAACTTTAGAATGTATTTAGTGACTATAAGATCTACCTATGGTCACTGGTCGAAAATCGAATAAAACATCAATCCGTCAAACAACTAAGAGCAAAGTAGACTTTTTTTTGCTTCTCATCATGACCGATACAAAGGTAATAAATTCAAGCGAAAAACGATTGGACAATTAAGAATGTTCTTTAACTTTGCGTAAATCAAACTAATGACACGGAAATAACTTTCAACAGTCTCTACCGTCAGCCTCCTTATAAATAGATAATCAACTTTTTCAAATACTAATAACTAGCGGTTCAGTGAATGATTCATTTACTCGAATGCTCATGATATATACCCTTAGACTAGTAGTGTAATTAAGGTAGACTAGGCTGAGCGGCACCCTACGACCGGGAAAAAAAAAGAAAAACGTAATAATTACTATCATTAACACTATCTACACGGATTTTTCGCAAGATTATGGGGCTCTGCCTTACCGCATACAATTTCCTGGTTATGCTGCTACCTCAAACTCTTCCTTTCAAGCCTATAATGATTGTTAACTAAAGCTTGATGCATATTATCTCTTATTTATCTTATTATTCGAAAAAAAAATCGTTACAAACATAGACAAAGAAAAGAAAAAGGGAACAACACATACTAAATCGAAAACGCAAGGGAGAATATAATCAACACCGTGACATACAAAGACAAACGAAAAATCAAATTATAGATTATATTAATACCGATGATGAATTTTGGAAAATTGAGACACATGTAAGAAAAAAAAAAATCATAAATCAATACGTACATAAACCAACAAAACAAAAAAAAAAAGACGGCTATGTTCAATAGTCAAGAAAAAAGAAAAACAGATGCTCATTCATTTGTGAATAGAGCAAATCATAAAAATGATACTGTTCTGTAGAGAAGAAAAGTCACACACACACGTACGCACGCGCACACATACCAAATGGATAGATATAATTCGACTTCACACATATTTTAAAGACAAAACAAAATCAATTTAAAACAGCACTGCTCAATGAGGTGACTATTAGGAAAAAAAGATTCATGTACAAAAGAATTTTTGATGCGCACATCATCAGACTGCTTGTTGTAACAACAAACAAAAAAAAAGAAGAAGAACGCAACACAGTCAATTATTTTTTCAACGAAAAAACAAAAAAAAAAGAAACAGAGTTTTGATAACAAAATCCCTGATACACAAAGCAGACAATGTTTTTAGGCAGAAAAAAAAACAAAGAAAATGCGCAACAATATTTAATGCAAAACTTGGCAAGTCAATTCGTTCATTTGAAAAATGAAGCTCAATTTTGGATTTTTCTTTGCATCAAACGAACAAAAAAAAAAGATAAATTATGATACCTATCATATTCGTGTACGCATACATGTATGTTTAAGTTTGTTTTTTTTTTATCACGAAAAAAAGAGATTCAACAGACAATAAAAACAACAACAAATATTTGAATGGTCTCTACGAGGATCATCCTGTATATACATAAATGGCTTTAAAATATACTGCTAAGCAGACGAATATTCTGTTTTGGCTTTTTTTCTGTCTTTTAAAAGACAAGATGAGCAAACGCACAACACAATGATGACGATGGTTGATTTACTTTTTTTTTTTTTCTTTGCGTTTAGAACACCAGAGAATGAAAAATAAGAAACAATAGATAGATAGTTGCACAGTTAGCAGTAGATCAAAAAAAAGAAACAGTCCCTGAAGAAAGAATGAGAAAGAAAACATAACCTGCACCTAAGCAATGGTCATCACTAAACTGAACAAGCAGATGAAACCAGAGTAGCAGGTGTACTTGATGGTCGACTAAGTGAATTCGTACTTGATTGATGATGTACATCAGTATGATCCGGTGATGATGATATAGATGTTAATGGTGATAGTGATGAAATATCATTGGGATTGAGCATTACCGTCACAGGATTATGACTATTTGATCGAACAGTATTTCTATGACGTGGTGTTGTTGACGATGATTGATGTTCATCATCATCATCGTCATCATCATCATCATCATCATCATCATCGTCGTCGTCAATAATACCAGCTTCTTCATCTGTTGTATAATCCATTGGTTCAGGTAATGATTTATCATTTGTTGAATGTTGTTGTTGTTGTTGTTCGTGTTGTTCTTGTTGTTGTAAAATTCTTCTAAGTATTGTACGAGCATTTAATAAATGTTTATTTTCTACTGAAGGATTCGTTGAAGAAACAGTACATTTATTTGTTAAAAAATTTGATAATTGAACATTTGTATTATTATGTAATTGTGTTTGTTGTTGTTGTTGTTGTTGTTGTTGTTGTTGATTATGAATAGCAATAGCTTTTAAAACAGTTAATGGTACACCCATTGAAAGAAGTTCTTCATAATTTTTTTCATTTAAACCTAAAAATTGTTGTTTTAATTTATCTTGTTCATTATCATTTATAATTGAAGGATTTGATGATATTTCAATTAATGTTCGATCTTCATCATCGTCATCATCATCATCATCATCATCACTATGAACTTCAGCAACAACAAGTGGCATTGTTATATTCATTGATCTATGTTCATTATGATCATCATCACATTCAATTGGTTTAGTTTTTGTATGTTCATCATGAGTATTATTATTAACATCTTTTAAACGTTCTTCATCAAGCATATGATAAAATTTTGAACGTTTTTTTGGTGGCATTTTACGTATGCGTTCCATAAGATCATCAACATAACCGCCAACAGAATTTAATGATAATTGTTGTGTATCATCCATTTCAATATCATTAGAATTAGAATTTATTTTTGTTAAACGTTGTTTTATAGGACTTCTAACATTTTTAGAATTATAATAATATGAAGATGATGATGCATCGGATGTTACTGATGAACTTGAACCTGAACCTGTACGAATAGATGAAATCGGAGGTGATTGACGACTTGTGGCTAAACCTGATTCATAACCGCTTGATGCGTTTGACGTCGACTAAAAAGAGAAAACGATTTGTTTTTTTTTTTTTAAAGAAATTTCTAGAATAAAATTTTTATACGGAATCTTTTCTTGGTGGTACATATTCATCGCTTTCCTCATCACTTGCTCCACCATGGCTTGTTGTTGATGAAAATCCACTTGAGCGTCGTCTATAATTATGATAAGCTGCTGTAAGCATATCAGCTTGTTGCTGTTGCTGTTGTTGTTGTTGTTGTGTATTAAGTATTGTTGAATTATTATTTTGATTATTTCTTTGTCTTATAAGACATGATGGTGGTAGAGAATTGCTCATGGCATTTGGATATGAAGCACGCATTAATTTATACCGAGGATCACTTATATACTGATGTTGTTCATCAAGAGAATTATTTTTCAATGCTTCGGAATTTAGATATGATGATATTTTATTATGATTACTGCTATTTGTATTTGAGCGACTAATATAATTTTGAAGTTCGTTAATTGAATTATTTGAAGCTTGTTGTTGATGTTGATGTTGATATTGTTGTTGTTGTTGTTGTTGTTGATGATGTTGTTGTTGTTGATGGGCTTGAGCGGCAGCTTGTACAGCAGCATGCCAAAATTTTGTTTGAGCTAATAATTTATTTTGTGCTGCTGTTGCTGCAACTGTTGATGAAAATGTTGGTGGTGAACTACCACGTCTTTGTAATGATGGTGATGATAAATTATTTATATCAGAATTCATACGTGTATTTATTGATGGAGGTACTGATGGTAGATATGTTGAACGTTGTTGATTAACCATCATTTTATTTGAGTTTGATGAATGATGATGTTGATTAGTATTATATGATTGCGATTGTTGTCTATATGAAGATAAAAGCCATTCATTATGTTGTTGTTGTTGTTGTTGTTGTTGTTGCTGTTGTTGTTTATAACGATCTGTTCCTAGTGCAACTTTTTTTGGAATAGGAAGTCCTGGTTCATGTGAATATGATGTTGTACTATGTCGATGTGATAGAGATGTTGATTGCTGTGTTGACATATTTTGTTGTTGTTTTTGTTTATTAATCATAGCTGCTGTTGCTGCTTGAGAATTTAAAAATGCTCGATATGCTGCTGGATCAGTAACACCAGCTGACATCATAGCTGCAGCAACTGATAATTGGTTTAATGTTGATGATGAAGTATTACTATGTGAATGTTCATTTAATAAACGAGGTGGTTTTGTAACAGGTATTGTTGAATGACGATGATAATTATTTGATGATGTTGATGTTGATGAATTCGATTCAATAGTTTGTTCAGAATTTTGTGATAATGTTGATGATGTATTCATATTTGAAACAGCTACAGCTGCAGCTGCTGCTGCAGCAGCAGCGGCTCGTTTTCGTTTTAAACTATATTTTTTATAGGGTGAATTATTTTTAAATGATGGATTTATTGTCCAAACATATTTTACTGGACCTTTTGATAATGATGATATAACAGGTACACGTATAAATTGATTGTGTAATGATAAATTATGTCGAATTGAATTCTTTTAAAACAAGAGAAAAAAAAAAAAGAAAAGATGATATATATAGAGAAAAATTTTAATATTCAAAAAAGAAAAAAAGAATAATAATTACTTTCCATCCCCAACTTGTTTTTGCATCGATTTTATCTTTAAAATATGGTACAAATTTAATAATCCATTCATATACTTCATTTAATGTTAAACGTTTCCATGGACTACTATCAATAGCACGTGTAATCAATTGAGCATAAGAAAGATTACCCCATGGATTACGATAAGTTTTATTAATACCAATGCCAAGTTCTTGTATAACTGATTTTGCTAAACGTTTATCATATTCAACAAATATATCACGTTTTTCTTTTCGATGACGTGGCCATGTATTAAAACGTAAACGTTCACGATGAACGTTATTAACGGATCCAATTGTATCGGATAGGGAACTACTATATGAAAAACGTCTACGAGTAGGACGAAGAGATGTTGGTGCTTGAGATGTTCGAGTATTTGAGGATGTAGGTGATGGTGATCGATCTGTATAAATGTTTCGATGGCATATTGTATCTGGTGGCGAATCAACAATTAATGATGAATAATCGCCGGTAGTTGATGGAATATAATGATGATTCGATAGATCTTCGTCGTTGTCATCATCAACAACGAGTGGGACGTCAATAGACTGACGAGAATGATGCATGGTCGGCACTAGTGATTATCTGACCATTTGGCCGCCACTGACTGTTAACTTACAACGCATCTGGAAGTAAAAATGAGAAGAAGAGAAAAAAAAAAAATAGAAAAGACCAAAAGAAATTCATCGTTTTTTTTTTATCTCATGGGAACCATCTGGTGTATGTATGCATGAACGCATGATTATGTGTATTGATCGAAAAATATAACCATTCTTATTACGTAAGAAACATTATAGAAAAAGAGAGTTCAACTTCTCTGGGGTCTCTCGAAATGGATATAGTAAAAATGTCACCCTTAGTTGCACTACTGGCAGAAGAAGAGAAAAAGGGAACGAAGAAGAAAAAAAAGTTGACCCTTCTACCTTCTACCGCCCGCTTGTGCGCACTCGTTTTTTTTTTTTTGTCTTTTTCTCTCATGTTGCATGCATGGAAACGATGAGAGAGCAAAAACACCATCACAGAGAGCGTCGTCCGATGATGCTTTCCGCCAACGAGCGCGCTCCTCGTTTTTTTTTTGTTATGTGCTCAAGCGTACGTCAATATACATTTCTTTCTCATATTTTTTTTTGTGCTTGTTGCTTACGCGGCGCGGCCGAAAACAAAAGGAGCGTGCGACCTCTCTCTCCTCGTATTCTTACATATATACGCAACAAAAGTCATTACATGAGTTATTTTTTTGATGAGAACGATAAGCCTGACCGCAAAAGTTTACGACAAGCAACGCATGGCGTCAGAAAGCAAAAAAAAAAGAGGAAATGACTTTTACGTAAAGAAAACAAACGTTCTAAAAATACGCCTATGTTGGTAAAAAAAAAGGAAAAAAAGGAAAGAAAAAATTCTTGGAATCATCTATTAGTTAGATGTGTTAATGAAAGCAATAACTTGAAATGAACAAATGCAAAGTCTTATACAACATATTCTTTTTGTTATTCTTTTATTTAACATACGTTCCACTCTTTCTCCTTCTTCATTCATCATATCATTATTATCCTAAAGGAAAAATAAACAAATGTTACTACATATTGTGAACGATCGCACAATATCTGTTTTTGAGTACATTCGTATGGAAACTATGTACTAACATTCGGAATTAATTAGACAATGATATCGAATGAGAGATATAAGATTCATAGAATATTTCGAATCTTACATGAACTTATCTCAAGGACTTATATATGTACTATATGTACTCTATGCTACTAATAGATAGATTGATGAAGAAAAAATAGGAAAAGCAATCTCAAACAATATAGCACCTAGTAATCAATTGCCTAATGTTTGTTTATTTTGCTTAGATATTTATACATATATGTGATTCTTTCTCGAAAGGGCACAGTATGTGCGCATGAGCGAAGAGAAATCATCACATCAATACTTCCTATGCTAATGCCTAAAAGTACAAGGTTTTTTTCTCTCCTTTTTTTTTCTTTACATGGTGTTGTCACATTATCGTTGTCGAATCTCACACAAACGAATGCACGTTTTTTTTCTTCCATATACATATGTATATATATATATATATGCATCAGATGCGTATAAGCAGCTTCTTTGAGCAGAACAAAAATCTCTCTATTGCTTTGCATACACTGACAGTAAAGAAGAAAAAAAAAGCTGTTAAATGCGAGAAGCGAGCAAGGTTGTCAATATTACGTAACGATACGTAGGCGCATGTATGAGCAAGCGTTCTGTTTTTATTATTGACATAAGATATTATGATATGAAGTATATACACGTTCTTCTATTTTCTTGTTTCTATAGTAAAATACATACATAGTCTTTTTTTCCTTCATACATACTCTTCGATTAATCACCTACAGTGAATAAAAAATAAAAAAAAAGAAGAAAGCTGTATGAAGTAGAAATGACGTGGAAATAAAATGTTTTCTTTTTTGTTGCTATGTCATCCATTGATAGTGAAAGAGAAAACAAGAAAATTATCTTTGATCAACTACTATTTTTAGAAAAACTTGATGTAAATGCTTTTCAGTCCAGTATAAATGACTAGTTATTTTTATCAAATGAAAAAACATCAAAACAGAATATTTAATGTATAAACTACCTTCATCTATTTATATTTATTTGCGCATGTATTCAATGACTACTGTTAGCTCATGAAAAAACAACAAATTTACTCATAATGTATATAAACACATCAATGTCTGAGCTGTATAATAACAAAATGCTATGTCATGATTCTTCGTTAGTATTTAAAGAAAAAAATAGAACGCATTAGAAAATAATCCGTTTCATGACATTGTCATAAAACTTCATTCGTAATTGAACAACAATAGATTAGCGTAGGCTAAAGATTATTATTCTTTAACAACAGTTGTCCTATACAGAAAAAAACTAATTAATAATGCGCAAACACCTACCTATTCTTAGTTCATATTATCATTCCACAACAGATCCACTGCACGCAAAAAATAGAAAAAAAAAAAAAAAAAGAATGAGACACCCAAAGTGAATAAAAGCATGACATAAAAAAGAAAATTTCTCTCTTCTTTTGCTTTCTACTTTATGTCCCTATGTTCTCCCTACGCGTCAATCCTCAATTTGTTTTACGTCGACATCAATTCAATTTAATATACATAAAATTAATTTTTAAATATGAATAACACATGAATGTCGTTATGACACATTCGAGGTTATTCTGAACATTATCTCTATTAAGATATTAAAAATATCTTAGTGATAAACAAATATGTATACAATTTTACATTAACCTTCGAACTCAATCTAAGACTTTCTTTTCTTCTATCTCGTTCTGCTTTGCAAGGATATATGATATATGCTATTAGTTGTTCATCTTATATAATCATAGATAGATAGATAGATAGATAGATGGAATGTAATGAACTCTATTTCTATTATCGTAAAAAAAAAACACTCTTCATTCAACATATAGATTTTTCATTATAGAAAGAAAATGAATAACTGATGATTAATTTTACTTCATCAACTATCAAAATAGTTGATTGTTTTTATCGATAAATAAATCTGAGAATAATTGTAAATTTATTTTTGAATTATTTTACTTATGTAAAAAAAAAAAATATAAAAAGAACAAGAATATCACATATTTATATTTTACGCCAATAATTTTATTTAATATTATATATTTATATGTGAAAGAAAAAATATTATGCAAAAATGAATAATGATAAACTAAGTTATACGATCTTACATCCAAAACATATGCAACCTTCATGACTTGCCTTGAATTTCTTTATGTAGGAAAGAGAATGAGAAAAGGATCTTAACGTACGGTCAAGGTCACTTTGATTTGTTGAATTTTGGGAATCTTATTGTTCTATATCGCGTTGACAAGGTTAAACTCTTTTTAGACGTATACATACATAAAACATTACGACGATCAATCAACCTTCAATGTGCCAGTAACATCAACAATGATGATGACAACGACGTTTTCAAGGTTTAAAGATACTATTGCTACTATTCATCGTTAATGCTGGTATTTTCTTCTTTTCTTGCTTTTCCAACATAGTACGATGGTGTGTGTTCAAGAACAAATATTGCTTTTTCTATCCCTTTCTATCTTCTTCTTTTCTCGTTCTCCCTCAAAAATACACAAATGCAATCATCAACGAACGACGATATAAAGAATGTATATGACGCAATCAAATGCTCCTCTCTCTCTCTCTCTCTGTGATTTAATCAACAAACGAATACATAAGGCAAAGAAAAAAAAAAAGAACTTGCCGATCGAGCACCACTCAAGGCTCTAGAATATATGTATGTGTATTTAATAACCTTGGACAGCTGTTCGAACTGGTCGTTTTCGTATTAAATAGGATACGATACTTTCTTTCTCAAAATAGTTTGTTCTTTTTTTTTTTCATTGCTTTTTTGTTTTATTTGACAATCTTACCTTGATTACATACACATTTTCTACTTTTTTTCTCATGCAATCTGCTGTTCAAATATACATTTACGAAGAAATAACCCTGAACGGACCTTGAACCATAATGATGGTGAAAGGGACAATATATATATATATATAAATATATATATATATATATATATGCATCAAGAGAACGAGAATAAAGAAGAAGAAAAAAGGAAAAGAAAAAGAAAAAGGCTTCATTTTGCTTCTAGAATAATTGCAAAAACAGAAAAGTGAAGTCTGTTGTAAACAAGCAAAAAAAAATAGATCTTGCATAAATGTAACTTAATAAGAAAAAGAAAACTCTTTTAAGATTACATCATTGAAGTTAACAATATAGCTTACCTAATATTTCAATCATCTTTCTTTTTTTGTTTCATTTCTACAAGAATAAAATTAACAAATGCAATGAAAAAAAAAAAAACGATGGGTATTAAATGTATTACATAAGCTAAATATAAACGATAGAATCAACTGTAATTTCTCGAGATTTTATTTTTATTTAAGAACATAATGAGTCATAACAAATAATCAAGTTCAATTCGAGAATATTCTCTTATGTAATTTTGATTGTTAGAAATGAAAAAAATGTTCTAGAAGTGCTGAGACAATATTAAAAATTCATCGCTCGTGCGTTCAGCTGTAACATTATCAGATGGCTATATGTAATGAGCACGAAATATATTAAGTACAAAGCTTTAGGCATATAGTTATGACAATAGGTAAAAAGTTATAATAATACAATCATGTACTAGATTATAAATTTGTCTCGATTGTTTCGGTTAATATTTTAAAATCAAAACACATATATCAAATTATCAATCTTTATCTATTTGATTACTATCATGATTAATTACGAACTTTAATCGTGTTCATATAACATCAACTTGCTTTTCAGAATAGTCTCTTTTTTTTGTTCGGTTCAATTCGGTTGATTAAAACATGTTCAATAGTATTCGAAGCCATCTGTATTTTTTATTTAATAATTTTGATCATCCTGAAAAATCACATTTCGTAAATCAACTAATCCTTTATTTGTATTTTTTGTTACAAGCCTAGGCCGACACAGTACGATTGTTAACGGCCGTATAGTATGAGATATGTCAAAAAAAAAAATAAGCGTCGTATATTATCAAGGTATATAATGCTGTATTTTCGAGTACAAACAACATATAAGATGAACATAAACAATTGTAATATATACGAATATAGTACATAATCATATCTGATTGAAAATAAGTTATGCGTCGAATTGCACTTATCGATTATATATAGCTTTTGCATTTTGAACTTAGCAACGAAATCAATGATAAATATATATTTAAAAATAAACTTGTTTTTTCTTATTTATACTAATTCGAATAATGCGTAATACATTAAGAAGTTATTTAAAAAATAAATAGTATTTCACATATTCTTATGGGGAGAGGAAGTAGCATCATTTTCTTGAGTGAGAAATTTGTGTAAATACGATAAGATATTATATCATGTAGAACACTACAAGATACAATTGTAATTGTGAGGTCATGTAATACAATGGTTAACAAGGTTTATAGTCTTTGTACTAAAATAGTTCGAATAAATTTTGCATATCTATCACTAGTAAAATATTTTTTCTTGTGACGTTATGTCACATAAATGGTGTCATAAGCTATATCTATTCATTTGATTAAAAGAAAATATTGTGTAGAGTATATCAATTTAGTTTATTGGAAAATTTCTAATATAGTACATGATAATGTTGTTACAGTTTTTTATAATACATAGTAAAAGTTATATACCTAAAACTATGTAGGTGTTAAGCACTAAATAAGTACAATTATAGCTGTCAGAGTTTAAAATAGTTTGCTTTATTTTACTAGAAGAACGTCGAATATTTGTTATTGTATGAAGAAAAATCAAATGACGAGTTTTATCAACTTTTTGACATAACTGAAAAAAAGTTGTTCAAATTTTAAGATTAGAATAGAAAAAAAAAAGTATTGCCATCATCAATGAAGATCTACAACTACTTTTTTTTATGGTATCTTTTTAACTTACAAGTTTTCATTCCGTTAACAAATTTACTATACTTTTTGAATTATCAGACCGCAAACAATATAACTACGTTCGTTTTTAATTTATATGCACATAACATTACTTAATATTTTTTCGAGATTGACATAATTTTTTTATTACAAACGATTAAATATGTTTAAAAACTAAAAATAAAAAAAAAGCTTATACAAGTTAACAAAATTCGAAGTTTGGTTTTCCATAATCATTCTGTGTGCTTTCCTAAATATATAAATTTTAGTGATTTATTGCACTGTTTTAATAGCAATGATACAGTAAATATTAGTTTACAATATAAATTATATTCGTTTTTATTTCGATTAATATCAACAACAAGTGCAACAGGAAGCGCTATTTTAAGATATATGTTATTTTTTTTTTTTCTTATATTTAGATTAATCGCAATAAAGTATTCATAAGTATTAGTTCGTAGAAATAAATTATATTCATTCTTCTTCTTAAATAATCATAATAATAATATCATCAGTGTGTATTATTTAAAAAAAAAAAAAAAAAGAATAATATTTTCTTTTGTTTGGATAATCATAGCAACTATAATTTCATCGGTGGGTAGGAGTGAACAAAAAAAAATCATGTATTTCTGCTTATGAGGAAGGGCAAAGAAATATTTAAACCTCTCATTTATGAGAGGCTCGTACGAATACAAAAAAGAACCGGCGTCGTATACAAAAGTTTATTATAGTCATGATTTATATATTAGTTTCCTAAGGAAATCCTTCGAATCTCCCCAGGTATCTCTGCCGCAATTTACCGAGAGGTTATTTAGGAAACCCTGGATTTTGTTTTCTGAAAAATTACCTAGGAGTTACTCAATCATTAATTTTTAGGAGAATTTTAGATTAATCGCGATTTTAATGACATAGGTAACTATTCCTTCGATATGATATTTTCTAGTTGCGCAATAGATTTTTAAATAATAAAAACTCATTTCGATGAAAACAGCATTTGTCTGTTGCCTTTTATAATCAATTTTTGCTCAAATTGAAACACTAATTAGTCAATATGGAAATACATAAAATGATGAATTCATAGATGCTTGTTTTATTTTCATAGTGCTTGATTTTAAAGTCAAAAAACGAGTAATGGTAGTAAATTATTTGCTAACAGATGGATGATAGATTATGAAAGACTTTGAGGAAATCATAAGAACATCAATTAATACTTTTTGTATATTTGTATAAATTATCATTAGTGTTTATTTGTTATAAAAGCAATTTCTTCTAAATTTTTATAGTTATCCTCATCTCTTTTATTATCGATATTCACATAAATTATTCTTTTTTTTTTGGTATAATCAATTAAAATTAACAGAGAAAAGTTTTCTTAAGTTTATTGTAGATGTAAGCGAGAATATTTTGTATACCTTTATCACACCCACTTTCGATGCTCTTTTAGGATACTTTAAGATTAACATCTCATCCGACAAATTATTCTAACATTCTCATGGACAATGACAGATACAATAGCGATGAGTTTAAGGCCCCGCCCCCCCGCCCCCCCCCCGCCGCCCCCCCCCCTCGACCCCCGCCCCCCCCCGCGCCCGCCCTCCGCTGGACGGGGCTTTCGGAGGGTTGTGGGGGGGA